GGAAAAGCAGCGACCGGCGCATGTCTGGCGCGGGCCACAAACCACCAGCCTTCAAGCCTCCCTCTCCCGCTAACAAGTGGTGAGTGGAGGATCATGGACTCTGTTAGGCAGTTTGCGGGAAGGGGCGGCCCATGGGAGCATGTGGCCATGAGCCTTCGGGGAGGGGGTGGGATGGGAGGGGAGACCGCCAACCAGGACCAAAATGGGGGGTGATGGACATGAAGCCTGGGGGGGTGTTGTGGCGGACCATCCAGGATGGGGGTCGGAGGAGGGTTGCGACTTGCAGCCAGCCGGGACCCAGGCGCAAGGGGGAAGGGCCAGGGGAAAGGTTATCGCTGGCTAACACGTTGGCCTCTATGTCAACCGTCTGACCAAAGAATTTGCTCTCCATCTCATGGTGTGGAGGAGAGGCAGAAGACGTGCAAACATGTACATGTATGACCAGGCGCCTACCTACGTACTTAGGTAGGTAAGGTAGGTGGGCATGAGATCAACAGGAGGCGCATCCCAGGACCCGGGAATACTGGTCAGGTCAGCTACCAGGTAGGAGGCAAGCCTGAAGCCCAAGCTGGGCAGGCAGGCTGGTAGAGTTGTTGCTTCTTGCCCTCGATGCGTGACGGCGGATAGATGAGGAAAGCGTGTCCCACCCACAATTGCACTAGCACAAGGGACGAGCGCCGGGTGGACATGGGGACAAGGACACGAGCATGGGAAGGGTCAAGGATGTGCCATGGGTGGGCACGCAGCTGCAGCTCCCACGCACGTTCTCTCCCACACCTCCATTCCCGTTTCCTGAACTGCCCTCTTTTTCTGCCTCCCGCCTTCCGCCTCTGGCTTGCGCTTGCTTTGTACTTGCGCCTTGTACCGCGCTTCGTACCTGTACCCGATTTTGGTACTTGTACTCCCACATGTACCCTCTCTAACCCACCATATTTCCTCTGGACCCTCCTGCCATTCAGTGTCCTTATCCCGTCTTATCCCCCCCTCTGTTCTCCTCTCCCCAGCTTCTCCCATTGCTTGAAACA